TAAAATTGTAAACCGCCCGGAGAGTGTTTGTAGCGCTATGGGGCGGTATATAAGTCCAATCAATCAATCAATCAATCAATCAATCAATCAATAGTCCATGGTATTTACAAAGCCTTCCTCCAGCACTACAGGTGGAATAGGGGTCCGCTCAATCCAACATTTCCCTGCTTGCCACATGCCAGTCCCCCATCCTTTGCTAATTTTTTACCCAAATTCAATGAGAGGAAGGAAGGCTCATCAGATCCTCCTGGGTGGAAAAACAAAAAGGGAGTGATTAAGGCTGGATTCGCTCCCTCTCTTTCTCCAGGGTACTGAGATTGAGATTTTTGCATGGATATTTAAAAAGAGGTGAAGGGAAGTTGATATGAAAATTTAATCGGGAGATGAGAATGGGTTTATCTCCCGATTAAATTTTCACATCAACTTCCCTCCACCTCCTTTTAAATATCCATGCAGTCGAAGCACCTCCACTTCGTGCCATGTGCTTGAACTACCGACGCTTAGCCTTTCTTGGACCACAACTCCCAGAATTCCCTTGGCAGGGTAGCCTGCCTGCGAATCTGCGCGGGTTCCTCTGGGAGTTGTAGTCCAATCCCCTCCCACCGACCCAAATACTAATTCCTGCACATAGCCGGAAGAGGGAGGTGCTTCCTCTGAGGAAGGTGCAGCTGGTCCTTGTCGCCAAACTTCCTTCCGCTCTAGGAAGCCGCCTCGTTCGATTTAACCCTTAGGAGGGCAGGCGTCAAAAATCTCAGTCTCGCCCAGCTATCATCTTTCCTTTGCTTAAAACCCTCCATTGAGCGCCACGGGGACCTGGTTTGGAGGAATCTTGAATAAAGAGAACTAAAGGAAGGTGAGTGTATGCAAGGGCTGCTAGTGCTGAAAAGCAAGGAGAATTAGCTGATCTTTAAAAAAAATAACAATGCAATTTAATTTCAATTCAACGTTCAATTTTCTTTTCACCATTTTAAATGTAATTTTAATTTAGTCGTTGGAATCAGATCGAACAGGATGGTGCATTTGCTAGAAGAGCAGGGTTGGTGGCCAAGGAAAAAAAGCCCAAAAGCTAGGCTTAAAGATCTCCGAATGTTTTTTTTAATTTGACTGTGGTCTGATTGGGGCTGGAAAACCGATCAACACGACTCCCCCAACCCATCTTTAATTTTTTTTTCCAAAGAGTTCATGATATTCTTTGTTTCTTTTCACCTTCCAGTTGCAAGATAGCATTTTAAAATAGGGCAAAAAAAGCTCCCTCCACCCACAGCATCAGCAGAACCTCCTTATATACGTTTGACAGTTCCTGGTTTGCAGGGCAGCCTAAGAAATTTTGCCGCCTGAGGCCACCCACTCCGCCTCACTCCCTAGTCAATAGGCAGCATACCAAAAGCTGGCCAGATTGTTTTTGTTTTGTTGTTGTTGTTTTGTTTTTTGGCACATTACCTTAGAACTACAGAGCTATGAGGCTATCAAGTCCAGCCCCTGTCAAGGAAGCCCAGTGGGGAATCGAACT